TGAAATAACCGTTTTTTACTACATGCATATGAATATAAATACGGTACATACACCAAAATTTCATTTTTTACAATTTTCGTCTGTCTGTCTGAAGCTAAGTAGTGTCTGTAATAAGGAGTAACTTAGGCTACCTTTATTTTTAAAAAGTAAACATCAATTAAGACATTTATTATTGCAGAGCACAGTGACAGAAGTGTTATAAAAAAAAATATATATAAAGAACATAATATTTTGAATATGAATAAAGGAATATATAAAAACTGCCAGTGATTCTCATTGTAGGTCTACTAAAAATTAGTTTATTTCATAAAAATATAGTTAAATTCCACGGGGACATAGTCGCGTATACAGCTAGTACTAAATATATCACCAGTAAAGTAATTCGCGTCATTGTTTCACGTACGTAATAAAATATACATAATAATATCGATGATTACAAGTTTTATCAATATTATCTAATGTAATTAACTGACATTGATTTCATTTTGAATTTAATTATTTAATATACATATAATAAAATGTATGCACGTAAGCTCAAGATGAAAAAAAAATTATAAATAATATAAACTGATTTTATTATTTATAATTTTTTTTTCATCATATTTCCTATTTCATGATATCACTGAACAAGATCTATCCTGATTTGGTATTAATTTTATTACGTAAATTTATACTTAAAAGGTCGGCAAATTACATATGCAAACGGCAACGTTAAACCATTTATTACAGCAGAAACGTCCGGCCTTTGCCTCCTCGAAAATTAAAAATAAAAGAGATAATATTACATATTACTTATACTAGTATGTTTTCAATAACAGTCTACTACAGTCTTTCAACTGTCACTTCTGACATTTTCCTACTGCATTTTCATTAAATATGCAGTACACACTGACTGCATTCCCACCAACAATTGGCATATAATTGCAGTATAGTTAGTTATCAATTGTAATGTGCAGACGGATGTCGGCGGAGTTACTGTCTCACTTGTGGGCTGATCTTCCTAACATTGATTTAGTAACGGCTGTGGGTACTTGTTGTGTGGGTGTCCGCCGGACGACTTGCAATTGAATGAAATATTGCACAGAATAATTACTGGCCAATTGCAATAATAAACCCAAATTGACAAGCTGCAGAATCTGTAGCTTTCTCCGATTCTAATTTATTTACTTGTTGTTATAAAAATATACATTAAAGCGGAGCCAAAAGAAGAGAGAAAAAAAAGATATATATACAACCTGTCATAGACAATTCCCGCCAAAATTATTTTTTTATACTGTTGAACTGTAACTGAATTATAAAAAATATAAATAGTTTTTTTTTTATTTTCAAATAATTCGAAAATGTATGATATAATTGAATTAACGTTCATGTGAAATAAATAAATATTGATGCCAAATAACACCTTTTAAAGTAATATTTAAATACTTAATAATGACTAATGACATTTCTCTCATTCATTAGCTATCGCATTGCATTCCATAATTAGACTACCTATGTCATAGATGTGTATAATAAAAATAAAGACATAGGTAAAAGAAATAAACAATAAAGATATAAAATGTATTCAGCACACATATTAGTACTTTACAATAATATTTTTTATAGTATCTAGAGTGTAATAATATATCTATTGTAAAATCTGAGCATTATTCTATGTCTAGAATATTACTCATATTTTACAAATGGTAAGAGACAGAGCCGTGCCATAGTGAATTTGTCTGGTTTAATGTCACGGATGCGAGGTTGATGCACCGAAACGCGCCCGCGCACGCAAATAGCCCGTCGCTGGGTGCGCACCTAAATAGCACAAGTATATGCAGCACTATGATGTAGGAGATTATATAAAGATATGGCAATATATACATACTAATATTATCTATCTATATACATGAACAGGACTACTGACTCCACGTTGTCATGTGAAGCAGGTTTCCTCTGCTCATGCTATTTCTGAGAAAAAAAATATCATGTCTTTTATTAATGAAACTAAGTGGTTTCAGTAGTGCTGTTTATGTATATAGGCGACTCTTCAGCTTCTTTGCCATTCCTATAGCATAAAAAACGTATAAGCCAATTTGTTCAAATATCTTTAATTATATTCGAAGAATATTAAGATAAGCGTATAGATGATATTCGAAAGAAGCGCGGGCAGAAGTTAGTACTGTCATAAAATTTAGCCTCTGTGGACGTTATTATATTGCATTAAGCAAATACTCTACATATATTAACCCTCCCACTAGGTAGCGTACTTTGAAAAAGGACGAGCACAATAGTCTAGGTATGTATTCGCAGTGCTACAGGTCTTAGCAGCTGACCATAGCCCAGAACCCTAAATAAAAAAGAAATAAACCTTTCCACGCAATTAGGATATGTTAAACACGTTAGTTGATAAAGCGAACTTTAAAAAAGGGCGAGCACAATAGATCTATGCAGGTCGCAGTGCCAGGAATTGGCAGCTGATCATGGTCCAAAACCCTCAATAAAAAAAATAACCCCTCCCACTCAATTAGGGTATGTTCCACACGTTACCTGATAAGATAATGTATCTACAAGTATTCCGCATGTTTATCATTATTAGTTACACTTATATCTCTCAGTACATAACTGAAGTGTTTTAAGGTTTAAACAGAAGATAAATCAAGTGGTTTACAGCATAACTACATAAACTAACTGTGATATATTTACAACAGCTCTGTTGCACAAAATTGCAATCACATTACACATTATAAATTGTTAAAAGTATTAGGAATCCAAGATCAAATGTCACTTGAATCCAATCAGTAAATAAATTTTATGTGAAAGAGTAACAAAACTCAATCCATCCTAAATTATCGTGTTTATAATATTATTAGTACTTAAATTAAAAGTCTGAGATAAAATATAACATAAGCACTTTTATTTTTTTTAATTAATCAAAAAGCAAATAAAGAATATCATATTTAAATCCAATAAAAATTAATAAAGGTGTCGTTTAAATTATACAAAAAATATTTAGTCGAGTACTTCATCGAAGCAGATAGGTAAATAACTAAGTAATATGGTAGTAACTAGATAGGTAAATCAGCCAAGCGACGGCCGTTTCTGTACCTCACTTCTGTTGACGACACATGAAAGGCACAGCCACCGGTAACAATTTTAGAGTTATAAAAACAAACTTGAACAGTTGTTAACTAACTCTGACATCAAGAGACGATCCGGGAGAATAACTTCTGGCTGCGAGCCAAAGACTGTACAGCAGTAGCTAACCAAAACCAAATATTGTGAGATGCCAATAGTGGTTAGATAAAAAACAGACTACTATATACTGATAGCAATCGCCACAATATATTTCAATAAACCTATAAATATATCAACTTATCAGAAATATATTTATCAGCCCTTATGGATCCTACAGCGTTTATGCAGAATCCATGGATACCGTTACATCAAAATTTATTGCAAAGTTGATTATTAATAGCATATTAATATAAACCAGCAATTTTTGTATTATGTATTTAATGGTTTGAATTATTTTTTGTATTATAAGACAAAAAATATTTATTTGAAGTTGTACTATGATGTCGATATCGTTACGAGAATAGAAAAATAAATAAGCAATAAAAATGAAACAACAATAACGTGAACGTTAAATTGTAATTTTGAAATAACATTATTCCCTTCTTCTCTATTTTATCTCTTCTACGTTCTAATTGCCTAGGATTGCACATTTGGACTTAGGATTAAAAAATTCTTCTACTCTTCTTCATTGCTCCTACTTTTTTTTTCTTTCTTTCTCTTACTCTTCGTAAGATAGCATTCTTATTTCATAATCATTTGGTATTGGCATATATTTTATCGTAGGCGTAGGATTTTTTTATCTATATGAATGTGATTGTCCTGGCCTACCTGACATTAAATTAAGAAGTCTTTTGTATTTAGCTTAGCTAGCTTTTGATTCTAGCTAACCTAAGTAACGTATAGGTATATTGCGTATATAAGCATTTATGAGCTGCAGTGGCCGTCTGCCATCTCCATATGCATTTTTATCACCCGCATCGTATAAAAAAATTGCAATATGTGATGCAGTAACTTCATTGTTTGAACGACAAGTCTAAGTGACGTCTAAAATTACGTAGTCGCAGCATTAGAACCTTCTGTTGTATAGATAATGATTTATAACTTTAACTACTCTGTGTTATTTTATTTACACATAACACATTTTCAGAGTAAATATATCTCTTCGTAGCTCATTGCACTACACACTATTTCACAATTGTTTATTAAACCAAGAGATTGTTATCGAATATTATTTATTATAAAATATATGTTAAAATCACACCGTTATGTAATAGTCTATCATAAAATAAGACAGGATTGTAACGGTGTTACGTAACTAAATCTCGGGACACAGACAATCTGCCATTGTAACTGCATTAACTTTTTTGTAGATCTACTTTTATAGAAATGGCAACTTACTAAATTGCAAATTTGTAACTACCAAAAACTCACAGAAATCCTTATTACAGCAATTATATAATTCTAGAAATGAAATATATACATTTCTACAGCTAATGACTATTACGTGAACAGAGTGGAAAACTATCTGAAGTATTTTTAAATGAATTTGGATAAAATCCAACGATAACGCTCTTCAAAATCAGCTGATAGTCGTTGCTAAGGCACCGATTACTCTATTATTCGTATTGCCAATGCCGATGCCATTTGGCATCGTAAAATATACCTTTCCACGCGGTAAACAAGATATTTTTAACATACATCTCGTATCTCGAAAACAAGGAGATTTTTCAAGAGATTTACAGTATTCAATGTATAAAAATGTTAACGGTACGTTACTATTTATTTTTTGTTTGTATATAACTTTCTTTCTATTTTCTTAAATCGAATATTTATTACCGTAACATCATTGAAGAATTTCGTAGTTGTAATTCAGTGCGTTTCAATAATAGAGCGAAGAAATATTTTGTAAAACGTTTTAAACAACTTTTGTCTATGTTTTTCAGAGAAAACTGCACCAAGAATGAAAATGAAGAAGGAACACAAACAAAGAATGCAGTAGAAAAATATTCAAATACATCAGTTTCTTATTTGACGTCGAACGATGGATTAGAAGAAAACAAACATGAAAAACCTATAGAAGTAATTCCTTTACAAAAGGAAAAAGTTATTGATGACGCAGATGTTGAAAATGATTTAGAACCTGAGAGTCCACATCCTGATGATGAGGCTGGTGATAAAGCAGCTATAACCGACAGTAATGCAACTCCTGAGATTGAAGATAATCTATAACATTTATCTCTTTAATTTTGTTACATTTATTCCTGTTATATAATTAATTTACAATTTTATTTTAATGATTTTAGTGAAACTAATGATGATTATTTATGGTTTTTTTAAATAAAAATTGCATAATATATCCAATATTTGCAATAGTTACACTATGCGTTGGGACTTAAATCCTCTCAAACAGGTCCTAACTTCCTAAGCTATTTAATTATAAAATCAAAATATTTTTAATTATTTGGTAAACGATAATACATAGTTTCCTGAACAACAAATAGAAGAAAAAATCATGTCATACTACATATTTGTTGTGTAATTACCTCAGAAAAACCTTCGCAATCAACAATGTGCCGTAAACTCATTCCAATAACAATCATATTCGAATGATATTCTACATTGCCGTATCTAATGATGTAAATTATCTTCTATAATGGTAATTTGGACATAAAATTGAAGGAGGCAATACTCGAAATGGTAAAATAAATCATTTTAAAGTGTAACAAGACAGATGTACAGATTTGTATGTTTGTAATGTAACGTAACGCTGAGTTAACATGTGTTTATTCACATGTCTGTGCAGATACAAGTGATAATTGACTTACATCTGTTATGCAGGAGAGTTGACCTTGGCGTGGCATGTTCGTACATTTGTTAGTACGCAAGTTCAAAGTCACGTCTGCGTCGAATTATGCAACGTAAATCGTCATGCACGCTTTTCGAAACATATTGGATCTCATCAGAAATAAAAACATTTTTAACTCTAAAATAACATCTGAATATATTTTACTAGCTAGCTGTCCAGTACTAGTACCTAAATGAGACCAAGAATCGATTAATCTGTAACATGTAACAAATGAAAACAAAATATACAATAATGTCTATAAGCAAGGATAACAAATCTAAATTCTAATGCCATAAATAAAGTAAGACAACATTGTGGCAGGCCATATCTCATGATGATATGTCATGTAATTCTGGTATATTACTCAACCTAAATATGTATTAAGATTATATGTTCATTTATTCACATCATTCATCTTAGGTACAGATCTAAAAACACAGCATTTCTATTTGTTTTCATGAATCTCTGAAACGACTCGAACTTTTTGACGGGACTCTCATTCACAGATGGGTAAAATTGTAACGTAACTTAGGCTAGTTTTATGTTAAAAAAATATTTATATTACGAAAAAGAAGTTAAATTCCACACAGATGAAGTTGCGGTTAACAGCTAGTTATTCCTATTATAAAAACCTATCACTCGTAAGTACTTTTCGTTACGATATGCCTATAGTAAAATAAAGTTATATAATAGGTGGAGCTCATTTTGTATTGAAAACAAGTACATATTTTAATAAAATATAAAAGAACCTAATATTTTTGTTTAAAATTACAACAGTTGGAATGATTTTTTTTCTTATAGCACAGGGGACAAAAGATCTTTCGGCTCACCTGATGGTAAGTGATTCCTGCCGCCCTATGAGCGTCGGCCCTATTGCAATTCCCCTAGTGTTGCGGGTACACCAGGGAAATTGCAAGCGCATTGCCGGCCGTTAAACATAGGATAAATAACGTAAGCTATCTCAAATCCACTGTGACCTCTAATATGTAAAATTACAAATATGTCGCTGAGTATTTTTTCATAATATGTGAAAATAGATATGATGACATATTGATAACAAACAAATAATCAAACTGTAACAATAAGACATCTCAGAATCGTATATCCGTGATGAATCATAGCTAGTTTTAAGGACAAAAACCTTTTTGTACTTACGTGTGATAGACATTTGATTAATCCTTCTGAAAACTGTCAAATAACTAGTCAAATAGGCTGATAACTTTGAGCCATTTCATTTCTAGCTTTATTCTTATCCTTACTCCTTACTAACATTATAAATGCGAATGTAACTGTCTCTCTGTCTGTCTCGCTGTCAAGCCAAATGAAATTTGGTACACAGATAGTCTAGAATCTGAGAAAGGACTAGCATATGTCCTTCCTTTTTAATCCGAGAAAAGGGTTGTAAGGGGTTGAAAGGGGATGAAAGGTTATATGGAAGTATCAACAAACGCGGGCACTTCTAGTTTCCCATATAAATACAGTTTACAAATATATTTTACTTTGTTTGTCTGTATATTGTCCCGTGTGTGTAAAATACTCCTCCGACTTGCTCCATGATGTTCATAGCCACATTCATCTAGGGTTTTCCTACACATTATGTATAATCTTTAATTGACAATGTTACCAGCTTATACCTACTTCTCCTTCATACCTTTACCTGAGCAAAATTTGTAAACAGTCAATTGCGTGGGTACCTCTCTTTTTATATGTATAATAAATACTATACATATAATTAACATTCCAATTTCATATATAAAACCTTTTTAACTAGCTAGTGAGTATAAAACAACGTAGAACGTAAACAATTTTTTTTTCTTTTCTCTCTATCTGCGATCAGCCCTTCCGGCTATAATCAGATTTTTTGAATTGCGAGATAGGGTAAGGTGCTATCTCATCTTTTTATATGTATAATAGATATATCTTCCACAGGCTTTCTGTATCTCTTCTTTTACAGTTGGAATTTCTATACATATAATTAACATTCCAATTTCATATAAAAAAAACCTTTTTAACTAGCTAGTGAGTATAAAACAACGTAGAACGTAAACAATGATATTTCATTTTACCTATACTATATATATTGTAATACTGAAATGTAAATACTGAAATAAAGTTGGAAGATATTGAAAAAATTTTTTCTCATTTAATTTCTGAACATTAGTATAGATTAAGCGTGTAATGATTAAGAGATACTTTCATTTACGACAGGGGTCGGTACCCTTCCACAGTGGGCACACAGACTGACCTTCTTTTACCTTTAAGAACGGAAGCCAAGTCCGATGCTCAGTCCAGCAAACATATTGAGGAACTGCCCAAACCTAAATCTAGGCTGTTTGGCAGAATTAAGTATAAGGCTCCAGCACCCGACCCTGGCTCCCCGCCCGGATATTACATATAGGTATGTAGGTATAAATTTTCTGAAGCATTGAGTATCAACTAACAATTTATGAAGGACTAACTTCTGACCGAGTTTTCTCGTGACACCAAGGCCTTCTCCAACCTAAACTACATATATTTTCAGACCAAAATTCGTGATGTATCAATGAGGCGTAAAATAATAACTAAAAAACGAAAAATTAAACTCTTTTACTTTTTTTAAAACTATTGAACTCGCTGTCTGTACTTTTACATTGTTTATACTAGGCATCAGATTTTAAAAGTTTCAGTGCTAGATAAAGTAATGCAAGAGGAAAGATTTTATGAGGTATAAAATCGTAATTAAATATATAAATAACCCTAGACAATTAACATAGCGTCTTCTAGTTCCACTGTAAACTGAGCTCGTGTTATGAGTACTAGGCAACTAATATAAATAAATACTTGTATACAATATACTATAATACATAATATACAAAGAAAACACCCAGACCGATACAAACAATCGTACCCATGAATACAAATGGTAGCACCGTGCGAGGAATCGAACCCGCGACCATCGGAAACAAAGCGGTACGTTTTAAAATACCGCTTTATGGTTTACCACTAAACCACCGAGGCCATCGAATTGCTTTGAATAATCGACATAATCATCAAATTCTTAATGAGGTATTTAAATATTCTTTTTCTGGCGGCCATTGGCTGTTACAGTAACCATTTACCATCAAATGGGCCGTATACTTATTTGCCACCATTGTTATCTATAAAAACTTTATCTCTAAGGTATTGAAGAATTCATTCAATTATCAAACAAAATTTTAACATCTTTCAATTCGAACTCATTTAAAAATGTGCTCCTAATTGTATTAACATCCAATATCTACTTCATTTCCAAGTTTTTTCATGGAAACAGGTAATTTATCACCAGTATTCGTCAGAATGTATATCTGATAAATAATAAACATATCAAGATATCGAATCACAAACGTCATTTCTACTTCGCGTTTTCATTAAATTTCCTCTTTTTTAATTCCAAGTCAAGGCCGACTTTCAATAAAAGAAAATTTGAATTATGTCCTTTTTATTAGGGATTTTTTTCAATAAATATCATTTATACATTTTTTTTTGTAAAATGTAAGTTAATAAGGACGTAATAAGCAAGACAACAGACTATTTTGTAACGTAATCCTAATATTAAGAGCCCATGTTATGGAAACAAAAGTCTAAGTACTAATATAATTGTCAAAGATGAAATAATAGGTGTCAATTTAATTATTTATATTAGGTACAAATTTACAGCTTCCCTTCGCTTCTCTTCTCTCTTAGTGCATCTGACTGTGTAATCTGAGATAACCGTAGTATGTAATAATAATAATCTCAGGACAATTCACACAGCGCCATCTAGACCCAAGTTAAGCTAGCTAGAGCTTGTGTTATGGGTACTAGATAACTGATACATATACATAGATATTTTTTTTTTGTAAATACATGAATATTATACATAGAAAACACCCAGACCGATACAAACAATCATACTCATGAATACAAATGTTTGTGCCGTGCGAATCGAACCCGCGACCATCGGTCGTAAAGCGGTGTGCTTGACCGCTAGACCACCGAGGTCATGTACATATTTGTTAATCTGTGTGTTCTATATTTAATTATATGAATAATTTATTTATGAATAATCACTAAATATCACACCAGGGGATGGCTGCCCAATACCGAGATGCAACAGAATGCAACGAACTCCACCCAAGCGAGCAGAGCTGAGCCGCCCGCGCCACCACCCTTACCCAAGAGCATTAACGAGCCGTGAAGTATTTCATTTTCTTTTATCTCTCATTGACTACTAATAAAAGTGAAAGTCAGTAAATAATAATTGTAGTAGATTCATCCCCTACAACACCCATTACAACGGCGATCCATGTTATCGAATTATGACGGCTTGAGCTGAGAATCGAGCACTTAGCACTGTCCTCAAACTAAAGTCACATTCGATAAACAAGTGTTGGTCTTCAGCCGCTCCATAATTTTTTTGCACTTGCTCCTATTTTCATTCGATGAAGCT